TCCAAAGTGGGGGGGGGGAGAGATCTCAAATATGGGCACAGGTTCTAGGTTTGATACTGGATGATCCTGGAGAGGCAGCTGGTCAAGGGGGTGGTGCTGGAGGAAGGACTATAGAGGTGCCAGCAGACTCAGGTAGTTGACTCATAGTTTCCTCAAAAAAGATGGGAGAAGAGTTTGAGGTGCCACCTTGAAATCTCTCAGATTCAGTAGGGCCAGCCCCATTGATTGAGACATCCCTATACTCAGCTCATGGATGAGAATTTGCAGACCCAGCATGCCTATCCCCTACTTCGCTACCAAAAAAACATTAGCTTCTGCAAGGATAATTAGCAAAAATACCATCTGATAGGAAGCAAAACATTACACTATTGAAGAGGGGCCTCTATATGCTTCCAGCAATGGTGGAGAAACAAGCCAGGGTGATTTGGGGGCTCTCCCTTCCACTGTGCTTTTAATGGCTCCAAGACTCATGACACGGGAAGAAAACAGAGACACAGTTTCTATTGTGACTTCTGTATCTAAGTTTGCCAAGTCAAATAGCTCTGATTCTCAACATTGCAATGCCTCTTTTTTGAGTCAGAGATTTTGCTTTATGCAGCAGTAGGAAAGCATGGCAGTGGCAGTGTGGGGGAGAAAGAGTGGGGCTGAAAATCAGCTTGAATGTCATTAGTGGCACACATGCCATAGGTTACTGACCCATTATAATAGATGGGTAAGGCATGATTTCCCTTTACAAAAGCTATATTGACTCTTTCCAGACATACTGTGTAATCTATCTATTTGATAATTCTGCTTCTTACTGTAGTTTCAATCAATTGGCATGGTCTGAATGTCTGGTTTACTGCCTGCAAGTGACAGGTTCACCTCTGCTGCCTTTAAAAAATTCTCAAATTAGCTACACTCGTTTTCTGCTAGAGATTGATATAAACAGGTTACATATCAGTTAATAGTTTAGCAATTTTATGTAAGTTCCTTCAAAATTCTTGTGTGAATATCATTTGAACCTGATGACTCAATGTGTATGTTTGTTCCTAAAACCACTTCTATTGACACCTCAATCCACTACAGTTCTTCTACTATCTGTACTGTACTTAAAGCCTTACCAAATTAATTGCCATGAAAAATGTGTGTCAGACCTTGTAATTTGGTCTCCTGCAATGAAGTCTTTTGCATGCTTTTACTCTCTACAGGCAGTCCCCGGGTTACATGGATCCGACTTACATCGGATCCCTACTTACAAACGGGGTGAGGCAACCCGGCACTAGCTGCTTCTCCCCAGCAGACCAGGGAAACGCGAAGCTAGTGCCCCCCACCCCCACCCCCCAGCAGACCAGGGAGACACGGAGCGGCTTTTCTCAGCAGACACCTCAGCTTGAGAATAAAGGACTGAGGGAAGTGAGGTGTGGGAGAATAAAACTGAGCTCTGGAGAAATGTTTGGCTAGAGTTTCCCCTACAATATGTACCAGTTTCGACTTACATACAAATTCAACTTAAGAACATACCTACAGTCCCTATCTTGTACGTAACCCGGGGACTGCCTGTACTATAAAGATGTCACCAGGGCAATCACTGTTTCTCTAATTGGGAATTCATGGCCTAAAAGGGAGTCGCAGAGGAATGGATAGTTTAGGGAGATGCAGAATTGCCACCCCCTTCTTTTGCACTGCCTTCGTAACTGGGCACACAGAGTGCAGCAACTGTGAGCCAGGCACTCAGACCTGAAAGCATCACCCCACCAGCTGCGGTGCAGAAGTAAGGGTAATAATCTTCTTCTACGACGTCCTTATTCCTGAACTGCCGCTGGTGGCGGTTCTGCCTTTTCAGAGCTGAACTCCTGGCTAGCAGCCGCCATGTTGTAGTTGCCGACATCTGAAGGCAGCAGCATTGCCAATAGCAGTGCAGAAGTAAGGGTATCAGTACCACAACCCCTATACAATAACTTTGTGACCTCCCCACAACTCCTTTATGAGCCAAGACCTCTACAATTACACCACCATGCCATTTCAGATTTAAATAGCTGAAATAATGACACTTGTGATTTTTAAAATCTAGGACTATAAATTTGCTAGGGCCCTAATTATATTATCAATGGCCTCCATCAGTGTCCTGGTTGTGCTACATGTTGTGGAAGCTGGGCCATGATTTAACAAGTTAAGTAGAAAAGACACGCAAAGAAAATATCAAAATGTACACATTGTTCTGCTGGCTTACATTATTTTGCTTTCCTCCAAAACTATCCTTACCTATTCTTCTCTCTCCACTACTCCCAATCCATGTGAATTAAGTACCATGCTCCACTGTTCCCTTTTTTCAGGTCTTCTTACTCTGACTCCTGTAACCCTCATTATACGAAGAGAAAGAAAAGTCGGAGGAAGAGTGTTCTATTTTGAAATAAGTGCTGGGAAGATGCTCCCAATTTTGAAATAAGCTACACAATTGAGGTAGCTCAATTTGTGTAGCTTATTTTGAGTTAAGCCCTGATGTGTAGATGCACGCTTAGGCTACGTCTACACTGGCCAGTCTTGCACAAGAATATATGCAAATGAAGCACAGTGAAGAATATCGCCATGCCTCATTAGCATACTTAATGAGCTGCCATTTTTGCACAAGGGGCTTTTGCGCAAGGAACACTGAAAAAAAGAGGCAGAATGGCTCTTGTGCAAGAGGGGGCTTTTGTGCAAGGAGCAGTGTAGATTGCTCCTTCTTGCGCAAAAGCCCCTTGCGTAAAATGATGGCTCATTTAGTATGCCAATGAGGCATGGCAATATTCGTCACCGCGCCTCATTTACATATGGTCTTGCGCAAGACTGGCCAGTGTAGACGTAGCCTTAGAGAATAACATAGATATAGATTTATCTATGATATTTGCCCATGAAAGCTCACATTCGTTTAATTTTTAATTTAATTATTCTGTAAGGGGATGTCTGCACTACGAAATTATTTTGAAATAACTCCCAAAATATGTATTTCAGAATAAGCTTATTCCCCAAGAAAAGCTGGAGTTATTTAAAAATAACCAGCCCCTTATTTCAAAATAACTGGCTTGGTAGTGTGGATACTCTGTTTATTTCAAAATAAATCCCTAGTGTAGATCCAGGCCAAGTGCTACAGGACTACTATTTTTTTTTAATTAAAGTTACAGACTAACATGGCTACCCTTCTGAGACATCATATACTAATAAGCTTTAACTTGAAGAACTACCCTGCACAATGTAGAAGGCCTATCTTCAAGTCCATGATACATATGCCTAGTTAATTTAAATTAATAGATAAATGTAAGTTTGGAAATAGAAAGATGTAGCACTTAACTTACATTATTTGGGGAAAATAGCATACATTGTTCCTCTGTTAATAAATTTGTGATTTCTGAACAACATTCAATGAAAAGTTGGAGTTTCCTTTCACCTATATGTAAGGACAGTCCTTAATTAGATAATTTATCCCTACTTGTTAACTTTTCCAGTAGTCTCTGACATTCTTTCACAAATAATGGTGCACAAATGCCCTGCTGTAATCTCACTCAAGATACTGTACCGCTAAGGGACAAACAACAGGGTACATCACCTACACCTGCCATGAGATCAATTTGTCCATGTCACTATTTGCATAAACTTAAAAAACAACAAATAGTCTGGTAGCACTTTACCGACTAACAAAACATAGATGGTATCATGAGCTGTGTCCATGAAAGCTCATGATATCATCTACATTTTGTTAGATTTGAAAGTGCTACCATACTATTGGTTGATTTTTAAGTTTATCCTATACAGACTAACTAGGCTACCTCCTGAAACTATTTGCATAGTGTGTGAGAGGCGGAAACTCCCCCCCAACACAAGCATTTACTTGAATCATAAGTAACCAAGAAATGGCATATCTGATTCCTCAACAAAAGCGTTTTGGCTTTGTCTAGTGCTGGAAAGATGCTTTTGCGAAAAACTTGCCAGCTGTCTACACTGGCTGCTTAAATTTCCGCAAAAGCACTGACGATCTCATGTAAGATTGTCAGTGCTTTTGCGGAAATACTATGCTGCTCCCGTTCAGGCAAAAGTCTTTTTCCAAAAAACTTTTGCGCAAAAGGGCCAGTGTAGACAGCAGAGATTTGTTTTCTGCAAAAAAAGCCCCGATCGTGAAAGTGGCAATCGGGGCTTTTTTGCGGAAAAGCGCGTCTACATTGGCCACGGACGCTTTTCTGCAAAAGTGCTTTTCGGAAAAGCGTCCTCCCAATCTAGCTTTTCCAAAAATGCTTTTAACGGAAAACTTTTCTGTTAAAAGCATTTCTGGAAAATCATGCCAGTGTAGACGTAGCCTTTATGTGGAACTCAAGTCACATTTCCACTCTAGAAGAGCAACATGGTGGCTGCTGCTTTTCTCTGCTATGGATCTGCCAACAGTCTTTGCTGTTACCCTCCGTGCAGCAAGGGGCAGCCCTTGGTGACCCACTACAATTCTGACCTGCTCCAAATGATGTAGCCAACAGCACTGCGATAATTCCGGGAACGAGGCCAAAGCCTTCTTCCCGCAGCGCTGGGAGGGACTCGGCGTTTTTCAATAGGAAGGCTTGGATGAGTGTTTGAAACGACCCTTTGAGCTCTGCATGAATGGCGGGTGAGCCCCCTCCCTCTCCACCTCAGTTGCTGGCCCCGCGGGGGGCACTGGCTTCCTTCACCGCCAATCCCCTATGCACCTACTCACTGGGCTCCTGACCAATGGCGCGGGCAGGGCCGGCGCCGTAGCGGGCAGTGGAGGCCTTTGGGCCCTCCCCCCACCTGAGCCTAGTCCTAGTAACACAAGTACCGACGTGACCCTCAAGAGACCGACCGAAAGTGGCCGCTTGCCCAAGGCGGCCTGTGCTGCGCAGCTCCTCCGCTGCTCAGCCTGGGAGCCAGCACGCAGCCTCAGCTGGAGTTAAGGGGGATTATAGGGTCCCGCTGAAGCGAAATGGGAACCCGGCTCGCGCAAGGCTCCTCCACTCGCGGCCTTCTCAGGAACTCGGAAGGTAGACGCCGGAAATAGAAAAAAAAGAAAATCTCCCCTTCGGAGCCACGGGGTT